TACACAGAAACAAACAGTGCCACACATACAGGTACAGGCACACAGATGCGCACACTGACACACATACAGATGTACAGACAGACACAAACACTGCCACACATGCTGATACACAGACACACAGATGCAAACATTGACAGTCATACAGATGCACAGACACACTGATACACATACTGACACATGCAGAAACACAGATACACACAAACAGATGTACGTACACACTGATACAAACACTGCCACACATACATTTGCACAGATACTGATACACAAATGGACACCCATGCAGATACACAGATATACATACATATGTACAAACACACATATGCAAACACTGGTAAACATACAGTTACATAGACACACTGACACTAATGCAGATCCACACATTGACACACATACATATGTACAGACACATAGATACAAACCCTGACACACATACAGATGTACAGACACACTGATACACACACTGACACACATACAGATGCACAGATACAAACACTGACACACGTACAAATACAGACAATGACAGTATGAACCCCCGGTGTTCTGTCAAATTTGGTGACCATCAGGGATTTGAAAGGAGGAGGTAGGCAGACTCTCTCTCACTTCCTCTTAGCTCTCCCTGCAGATTAGAAGGGGCCCAGTCGCACTATTAAAGCAGAGCACTACCACGCCCCTTATGGTCTATGTCCATCAGGTGGCTCTTAGGCATGTGCCACCCAATGGACTTTTACTCTGTGGTTCCCGTGCGGTGCAGTTGCACTGCTGCCATTACCAATTTTTTTTGCGTCCTCAGAATTGTAGCTTTGAGGGTACACATACCATGGGTTGGGAACTCCTGCTTTATTTGAAAAAATATTTTTATCTTTACTGCTTTTTCTGTAAGATTTGAGGAATCTGTAATTGCACCAAATAGTACTCAAAGATAACTCATTTAACAGTAATCAATGCATTAACACAGCACACACATGATCTCTATACCAGTTTTTACAGTCTCTGTTACTATAAATTACTTACACAACACATTTCACAACTTGTAATGAAGGTCTCTGCAAGATACGGTATAAGAAGTAAGATGTAGAAGGGAGGGAAGTTCATGCTTAAACACAGCCCACGGGAGTGTAACAAGAAGCAGAGTTAGGAGAAAATGGCAGATCTAATTTATACCGTGATCAAATTGCTCCCATTATCTGTAAGGTGAGTTAAGTTCTGAGACACATTTGCGCAAGGTTCCAAAGATAGAAGTCTCACTAGCTGCATGAAATGCAAAAGTTCTGAATGGAGAAATATGTTTCTTGGTAGGATGACAATAGGTGAAGGAACAAAAGGGTTGGATAGTTAGGCTTTACGGCATAAATGATATAAAGTCAATGTTAGTCAGTGAGTACACTGGATTAGGTAGGAAGGGTTTAATACTGATGGAATGACTGCTACTTAGCACAAATTGTTTCATTTTCAGTTGTTTCCCCTTTTCATTTTTTTTTCTCTAAATAGAAATGCTTTTTTTTTTTTTTAAATACAGATTTTACATGTCTTAATTTAATGTCCCAATAGGTTAACACACTAGTGGGTTGCGAAATGTGTAAATCAATGAATGCTCTAGGTAGAGACAAACTGCAATCTTCCTTTACAGACCATCCCTTACAGAAAGATTCCTTTTATTTGCCATAGACCGCGCTGGAGGAATCAATGAAATATTAAGCAGAATACAAATTCATGATTTATTCAAGTATTCAGCTTGGTCAGTCTTTCCTTTCCATACTGTTATTGATTGAATACCCTAAAGCTTCTTATAAGGTCGACAGAGACATCAGCATTGGAAAAATACAAGCGATCTGTGAGCTGAATTTTAAGATTCATATCTAAGCAGCAGATATAGGCCATTGCTTCTGTAGATAGCACGTACAACTACAAAGAACATGCAGCACAGCCAGTTTGACAAAAAAAGGAAAAAGATACAAATTGATTATGCCCTGGAATCCATAGGGTGGCTAAGAATCATAAGAATTCTAATTGGTCAACAGCTTAAGATTTTCCTAATGTCTACTGTCTCTTTCGATGCATTCTTTAAAAGAACGCTTCTTTTCCTTTTTTTAATCTTTAATATTCTTTCAATGGCACATCAAAAGAAATATGGTATTACAGTGCCTGGTTGACTACTAACAGGGCAGTGTGCTTCGAAACATTAATAGTTTACTTCTAACCATGAATTACTTTTCTAATGATTCAACATTCACCTCTTAAACTAAGACAAGAATTATGTTTTGTTTATATGCAAAAGTCATTAATCTAATTGTGTCATTAATAATATATCACAACGCTTCGTGTTCTCATTAGTACCAAATAATTAAAGGGACACCCCAGTCACCATACCAACTTAATCTAAATCTAGGAGACGCCAGGAGCTTTATAAGCCAATCATTAGCTTCCCATTGATAAAAAAATAAACATAATTTTTTTAATCAAAGGGGAGCTCCTGACTGGCCTAGAGCATCAGCTGAGCGCTCTAGCCAATCAGGGTGCCCCTGCATGGCGCATCCTGTAACTGAGATTCAGAAGCTGATTGCCTCCTGGGGAACCTTGAGATAGGCGTTGAAGGCAACTTCTGGGGTATTACCATTTTAGAACGGTTTACCCCTTATGGTAAGAGTGCATCTGGGTGCCTCCTGGCACCATAACAACTTCATTTATATAATGTTGATATGGTGACCAGAATGTCCCTTTAAACTCAGTAGTTATTTGATTTGCACACTTCGTTGGCGCTGTAAGCTTGGGAATTGTATTATTAGTTTTGTTATCATTTATTTATAGAATTCTTGATTATTTTGCTATACTGTAAAAAAATGGGAAATGCACACATTTTTTACATATTGAAACAGGCAGAGACAAATAGGTACTTAGAACTAAGTAGAGTCAGAACTGCAATATCTAGAACAGTAGGAAAGGCTTCCTATCTGCAATGGTGATACCACTTTCAGAAACAAATGTTAGAGGTTCATCAACACGATAAAGTTGTTGTAATCAACAAGAGAGAATTTATTTTCAGATTTTTACATTTGCAGGCTCTGAGACGTTCTGTATTTTGTCTGTCAAATGCATTTATTTTCATTACATTTTTTTTACTCGTATCCAGCCCTGCAGAATACTTTGATGCTAAGATACCGTATTTACTCAAATCTAATGTGCATTTTTTTGGGGAAAATAAAGTTTACAAAATTTGAATGGGCATTATATTTGATGGCGCATCACATTCGGGGCAAAATTTGACATTTTCTGGTGAATTCACACAGGCGAATTAACACGAGTGAATTCAAACAGACCAATTCAGACACACCAATGCAAACTGCTAAAATAATACAGGCTTATTTCATTACGGCGAATTCACACAGGCAAATTTCGTTCCTGAATGAGGGCTTAAGAAAGAATAGACTTAACATGTAACACAAAAATTGAAATACCATCAATGTTAATATGGTATATGGCAATAAACATTTTCATAGTAGCACAATGTTGTATAGTAGTATCTTCTTGTATAAATGCGCAATATATTCGCCAGTAAAACATTTTTCCGCTTCCGGGTTTCAAAAATTGAGCTGCACATACGGTTCAATGGCGCATTAGATTTGAGTAAATACTGTATTTTACATTTCATTAATATTAGAAGTGAAGTAGATATGTGATTCCCATTCTGTTTTGTTTTTTAGGGTGAAGGCTGGGTGTACATTAACCCCCTATGGAAGCCTCACTGACCATAATTGGATTAATGACACCGCTTGGAAGATGACAAACCTCTGGCACGAAGGAATAAATTGAAAGAAGGAACTGCTATGCTGTGAATGTATTTCTAAGCCACTGCAAACTAAATCAATTTGTTCAAAAAGCCTTTCTGATTTAGCTAAAGATGTGTGTGCGTGCACTTTCTAATACATATGTATTGGTGTGTGTGCATGTACTCCACATCCACACAATTTAACTAGAAGAGAAATCTATATATACACCTGCATTCTGTATCACAATCAATATTACTATATAAATATATGTATATATACAAATAGAAATATATTGGTAGCTAGCATTTTATAAGTCCTTTTTGAGATATTATTTTGCCAATGATTCTTACATTTTCTCAGGTATGATGAACCCCTTCAATACGTCAACACGTCCATGATTTTTGCCTGTTTGTGTAAAGCCAATGATTTCACAAGTATTTTAATTTTCAATAAACCAGTAATGATGGGGTTAAACTCCTGCTTATCTCCAGATGCATTTTCTCTAAAGGGTCAGCAAGAAGCACATGCACAATTTGTCATAGAATGTTGGCTACTACTTATTGGGCTGGGTGAGCATTTGAAATCTTAAACCAATGTCATTAGAACAACCTGACTTTTTAGAATAAATTACAAAATGCAATAACCCACTGCATTAATAACTAGTGGGCTATATATAAATTCCAGTCATAGCTAGGTAGAGTGATATATCCATGTGTGGATAAAGACTTAAGGACTAGACTGGAAAGTCAACAAAAAATAAATGGCATTGGCCCTTAAGGTATTAAATTGAGGGTTCTTAATCTTGATTTATGATAGTTATTTTTGATAGCCACTGACTTCTGTAATAAAAAGTACACAAAAATTAAATAATACAGAATGCCCTATTAAAAGCATATATTTATACTGTGTGTGACGAACTTTCACATTACATTTCACAGAAAGGGTTAAACTACAATAGAAGAGATATATATGATTAAGATTTTCAGCCAACAAAAACTAAAGTAAAGGAAGTATACTTGCAATTATTGGGGGTGTGGGAAGCAGGAAGTATACCTCCAATTATTGGGTGTGGGGAGCAGGAAGTATACCTCCAATTATTGGGGGTGTGGGGAGCAGAAAGTATACCTTCAGTTATGATGGGTGTGGGGAGCAGGAAGTATACCTCCAGTTATTGGGGGTGTGGGGAGCAGGAAGTATATCTTCAGTTATGATGGGTGTGGGGAGCAGGAAATATACCTCCAATTATTGGGGGTGTGGGGAGCAGGAAGTATACCTTCAATTATGATAGGTGCGGGGAGCAGGACTGCTTGTCAAAGAGGCAGGCATGAACAGGCTAGCAATGTGATGGGTATTTAATGGTTTTAGGTGTAGGATGCTGGCATGTGTAGTACAACCCTACGGTTAAAGGAACACTGAAGCCTTAAGAATATAAACCTGTATTCCAATGCTACAGTGCCCCTGTGCCTAGTTGTATTAAGGGCCCCCATCGTTTGCCATAAATAATTTACTTATCTTATTTCTAGTGGCTGACAGTATAAGAGCCGCTATAAGTAGATTTAACCACTGCAAAAAACTGCAATGCTTTACACTGCAGGGTTAAAAGGACACGGCCACTGCACCCAGACCACTTCATTGAGATGACTGGGTGACTATAGGAATTCTTTATCACAGGATTGAAACAGATTTTTTTCAGTTTTATGGTAAAGATTAAATGATAGCTTATCACTCTGTATTCAATTTGAAAGGTCAGTGATATTTATAAGAGTTAACTGGGGCCAGGTTATTTTGTATACATGCTATTTCTCCCTATCTATGTAATTTCACCATATGTGCCATTGTCAGTGTTACAAATTTTGCTAAATCAAACGCAACAACCTTTTTCTAGATCGACTAAGTCTGCTGCAATGCCCTCGTTCAGCTTGCCTCCTTGACTGCATTTTGTGGGGTAAAAATATTGGCTATCCCTGGCCCTATCCTCTTTAATAAACCCAAATCAATAATTATAACACATTATGGTAGATTGCATGTCAGGACTGTCATGATAGAAAGGCATTTGACTATTCCCTCAACATGAGTTAAAGGGACACTGTAGGCTCTGTAGCCGTTTCATTTCATTGAAGTGGTTGTAATATTTGGTGTCCCTTGTTGCCAGCTTTACATTTAGAGTTAAACCTTTATGCTAAATGAGAGTTCCCAGCAGCTTATGCTCTCTTTGCTGCTCGGGCTAACGAGGAAGCATTTGCTTGAGCAGCAGGGCTCGAGTCCACAGCAGCAACGCCGTACCCGTTAGTAGTCCTGCAGGACAGAGACGGCTCTCTAATTAGGCGATGTTGGCGACCGCCTAAATCACCTTAGGGCAGTGTGACATGTCGGGTCCTTGGTCAAAGACCGAGGGCCTGACACAGGAAGGAGTCCGGCGGCTTGCCCTTTATGCCGCTGGTTACGAGGCCCCTCCACTCCGCCTGCCCTGGAGGAGAGCCAGCCTGCTGTAGAGCTGCAGACTGAGGTGTCTTGCGATCTCTAGTCAATAAGAGCGTTGCTGCGGGATACCACGGCAACGCTCTGACTAGAGATCGCGAGACTTACCACGTGGTCTGCAGCTCTGCACCTGGCGGAGCTGCAAAACGGAGTACCAGACCACCAGGGAAAGCTGCCAACCGGACCACCAGGTATTTACCTTTTCACAGCCCCCTACCCACCCCCTACCCACCTTTCATCCACCGCACAGCCCCCTAACCACTTACAGACCCCCTACCTGCTTTAGGGAGTGGCAGTAAGGGAAGGAGGGGGGTGACAGGTGGCAGTGAGGGAAGCAGGGGGTGACAGGTGGCAGTGAGGGAAGCAGGGGGTGACAGATGGCAGTTAGGGGAGTAGGAGGTGACAGATGGCAGCGGGGGTTACAGGTGGCAGTGAGGGAAGGAGGGAGTGACAGGCAGGTGGGTGACAGGGAGGGGGAGGAGGGGGTGACAGAGTGAGGGAAGGAGGGGGTGACAGGTGGCAGTGAGGGAAGCAGGGGGTGACAGATGGCAGTGAGGGGAGTAGGAGGTGACAGATGGCAGTGCGGGGGTTACAGGTGGCAGTTAGGGGAGGAGGTGACAGATGGCAGTGCGGGGGTTACAGGTGGCAGTGAGGGAAGCAGGGGGTGACAGGTGGCAGTGAGGGAAGCAGGCGGTGACAGATGGCAGTGAGGGGAGTAGGAGGTGACACATGGCAGTGCGGAGGTTACAGGTGGCAGTGAGGGAAGTAGGGGGTGACAGAGTGAGGGAAGGAGGGAGTGACAGGTGGCAGTAAGGGAAGGAGGGGATGACAGGTGGCAGGTGTTTTTTTTTTTAAACATTTTCAGATATTATTTAAGATGTTTACAATTCAGCAACCTGCTAACACGGTAAAAGTAGGTCACAGTACATTTTCAAAATTGTTAGAAAAAACAAACACTTTTATAGAGATTTTAGTCTGATTATGGTGCTCCGTGGCAAGTAGGCCAGGTCACAAGGCTCACAGAGCGCTCGCTAAACATATTAATCAGAGATTATGTTATTTTTATATGTTGTTTTTCCCCCCAAATTGCTGCATCTCGAGATACTTTGACTAAGCCCAAGACTGATTGGTTTAAGTGATTGCGGTCATTCTGCAAACTTACAAGCTTAACAACTGAAATAATATGAATATACATAAGTGAGGTCAGTAATGGCAATCTCTTTTTTTTTCTACTGAGAAATGAACATGAGTTTTATAACTATTGTTTCCTTACCATAATAATTTCTGTGGCGGACCGCCTGGTACCCCAACTGGGTACCTCCGCCAATCATGCTTCCTAGTTATCACTGAGTACCATAAGCACTGCACCGGGACACCATAAGCACTTCCAGCCCAAAGCTGCCGCAGCTTGGCTGGGGTCCCGCTGTCCCTTCCCACCCTGGATCCAGCTCCCAGTGGGAAGACCTCTCCTGCAAGAGAATATAGCCGTGTAGCCCTGAAAGTAGCTAGTCATACAGCAATCCAAAGAGCAGGGATATAGCTGGTATAGCTTTCTCCAACACACATGAGATGAGGCTCTATGCTGGGGATGAACTGATTTATTGTGAGCCACACATGGCCTTTTATGTAACTCCCCATGCAAGGGGTTTCCTTAATTACATTTCAGGGACATTCCCCACTGGACCTGAGATGAAACTGTTGCAAAGTACACATCTAAATTAAATTATCTCCCAGTACAGAAAACATGTAATATAACAATACCTCAAGTACCCCCAAAACACAGGAAAACCCCACAAGATTTACATCCCCTGATAGCCCCGATCTGGGTGACCAACATATCCAAAAATCACCCAGATTGGTTCAGGGGTTCGGGATTTTCATGGAAGCTAATTATTTGACCGACCATGCACATGGTCCTATGCCCAAAACCGTTTCAGGAAATCATGGCTAGCAGTCGGTCTAGTTCAGTAGTTTATAAAACAAACAAACTACCGAACATAGTAAATAGTCTTACCCTGGAGCTTGTTCACCTTGTTCATGTGAACGTTTCCACCGAACAGCGCCCTTCTAAGTTGTGTAGAACCAAACGCAGGCGATGCTGGAAGTTCAGCGGTGTTCGGGAGTTTCTGTGTCCAATTTCAGTTCCATGAACTCGACGACCAAACACCGCTGCCTGCGTTCATGCGCACAGGATGGCCGCCACCTCATGGTTGTTCATGCGAACAACAGCCACCCAGACGAACAATTAGAACACTGCGGTGGAACGTGTTACAAACTGTCAATTAGGCTTAACAAGCTCCCGGGTGGTCCATGGTTCGTGTGCCTGTTCGGTTCCTGAGAATAGAGAATGGGCAAGAACAAAGTATTTTATGAGCTTTTTCGCATGGCCCATAGTCTTGAGGCAGGAGACTGGCAAAAAGGCTCCTCCGGGAGCCTGTGGCGAGTTTCTGTTCGCTACAATTTCTATCTGCTTGTCATTGCTTTCCCAAGATAGACACCCCAACACTGACAGAATAAATATCAGAATATTAACAAGAAATATATGCTACAGCTATATACTTGCATTTAGCATTGAAACTGGTAACCAAAAGCTCTTTAGTTAGAAATACGACCATACACATTTTCAGGGTGTCTTTGAAAACATACCATTGTATGGGTTTTTTTGTTAGATGTGCTAATTTTGTTGTTCTGGGCACTCATTGTTCTAGCAAAATACATTATAATGTCTGCAGAACACATGGTTGGTACAGGGATGGGGAATTCCTAGTGCAAATGCAGTTCCAGGCACTGGGCAGGCAGGTTTTTTGGGGGATGTTAGCCCAGCCTCCGCTAGATAGGACAGGGTCAAAGCAGGGAGCATGTGCTTCGCTCCTCCAGCAGGTGCAGACCACAATATTCACTTCCTCATGTCCTGGCATTCGATGAGTCAGAGTGCAGCCACTGGGATTCAGCACTCTCGGAGTGCTGGTGCTACAACGGAGAGTGGTCTGCAGTTCACACCTTCTCCCACTAGACCACCAGATACTTTAACCCCCAATGGACCACAGACCACGTTCCTGTAGAAAGCTGTGCATGGAAGGGGGAACACACAGCATTACACACAGCCAACAAGCATTACACTTACATTACACAGAGCCAGCAAACACTACAGTCATTATACAACACAAAGAGACACAGACACACACTAGGAGATGAAGGGAGGGAGAGATTATAAACAGAGCAGAGGATATGACGCTATTAACTAAAAATGTATTTCACAAAATAAATGTGAATGGAAAAACTGCAGCCAATGGTTGCTATTATAGAGTTGTAGAGTTTTTCCCGATTAGCTTTTTCGTCTCAATTTTTCCACTTACCACAGATTTAATTTAGTAGATTTAGTCTCTTGAACAAGAAGATTTATTTAAAATGTTGACACCCCTACATTATATCGATACTTTAAGGCATGGATAGGGAACCTATGTCCTTCACTGATCATAGGAGCAGTCCAGTAGTTCATCAACAGCTGGAGAGCATTGTGTTCTTGACGCATCTTGTGTATTATATGTGAAAATGAACTCAGTGCCAAGTCTCATCTAGAATTTTGCCCCCTGCCTCGTTGCCTTTGACATATCTTTGAAAACATGGCTTCACTCACACAGTTACTTTTATTTGCCAAACGTTATAGAGATGTTCTCAGGGATTCATTGCCTAAAATATTATTTACAGGGTTATTCTCTAAAGTGAGACTTGCTGGGAATTCAAAGTGAATTTGAAATTTAAGGCCCAAGTAGCCAAACTGAAATCAGAAATGACTTCAAGAATGTTTCTAATTCGACTATTTTGGTCTTAATTTTCTAAATCATTTTGAATTCCCAGATATTTTCACTTTAGTGAATAACCCTGTTAATCTTTACATTTGGCACTTAATTATCACAAGATAATGTATTTCTACCCATTTTAGAAGGTATTTGTTTTTTTCCCCTACTATACAACAGGTTCATTTTAAATTTGCTTTAATTATAGTTAGAATTAGTTCTAAAGACATTATTCATCTTTTTCATTTGTGTCTGCTAAAAATCACATGTTTTTGAAGAATATTTATAACAACAGAAATATTTCTTGCTATTTCAACAACAGCTATTTCCAGTACTTAAATTAGTCTATATATAAACAGCATAGTTTGTTACTGCTTCCCATAATGCTAAATTAAAACACAGGAAATTGAGTTTTGAGTTGCTTGTAAGTAGTTTTGTCAGTATTCTAAAGCAGCTTAGTTAGTTTTTCTGGTATAAATCACTTTCAAATTTAAAAAGTACATTTAGCTGTGATTATAGTTCCACTTTATACATATAGTTACCTGTGATATCATAGCAGTCCTGAGAAACCGTTAGTCACAAAGGAATATACTACTGGAGACATATAAAATAATTGGACTAACTATAATTTATAATCAGCCCTGTTTCCATATCCTCCTTGAGCTGTATTATTTTGTAATTCTGACTCATGTTCATCCTAATCGTTTTACTTGGACTTCTACAGTCAATTAATCACAACCCTCCTAGTCCTACTGAGGTCACTATTTCTTTAAGTTGTCATACTCCTGATCACTACTGTCTTAGTGACTTGAGCAATGCTCATATCTCAGTGTCTGCAAGTTACAAATATTTATATAGTGCCAACATATTCTGCTGTGCTGTACAATTGGTAAACAAATTTTTTTTTAATGCATACAAAACACTGCTGGCATACAGGAACAGTGGATAAAGAGGGCTCTGCCCAAACGGGCTTACAATCTAAAGACAGCAAAGATAGCTTATTGTACGGTGGTGACATAAATGCCACTTATATGGTATTTTCTGAAAGATTACATTCGGTAATGCATAATTTGTACCATCTGTTCCATTGGAGTCCAGCACCCTCTATTAAAGGAGCACTATAGGGTCAGGAACACAAACATGGCCCCCCTGGGTCCCCTTATGCCTCCCTAAATATCGAAAATCTTACTTGTATTCAAGTCTGCAGCTGCTTATTTGTTGGCTGTTTCCTTTAGACCTGCCCACTGCTTGCTGACATCATCAGAAGTGGTAGCCTGATCCAATCACAATGCTTCCCCATAGGATTGTCTGAGACTGACAAAGAGGCAGATCAGGGGCAGAGCCAGCACAATTCAAACACAGCCCTGGCCAATCAGCATCTCTTCGTAGAGATGAATTGAATTAATGAATCTCTATGAGGAAAGTTCAGTTTCTGCATGCAGAGGGAGAAGACACTGAATGTTTGGAGGCATTTTAGGCAGCCATGAACCAGGAAGGATCTCTAACAGACATCTGAGGAGTGGCCAGTGAAGTTATCACTAGGCTGTAATGTTAACACTGCATTTTCTCTGAAAAGAGAGTGTTTACAGCAAAAAGCCTGAAGGTAATGATACTACTCACCAGAACAAATTCAATAAGCTGTAGTTGTTCTGGTGACTATAGCGTCCCTTTAAGTCTAAGGAAGTAGGATGCCCTCAAAAACCCATAGTTTGCCTTTGTAAAAAAAAAAAAAACTTAAACATAGATAAGAATAATTAATACAAAAAACAAGCAGTATTTAAATGCATAGCATACTGTACTCTATAAACATTTCATCTCATTGAATTGATTTTAGTGCTTGGAGTCCCCTGGCACTGTCGCTCCATTCAGTGCTAAAAAAAATTTGAGCAGTTTAATACTCAATGAGGGTCCCTGGGCACCCACAGTCCAGCCTTGCTGGAGGTGTGGTTAAGGTAGAGGTTACTCACTTCCTTACAGTCATTGTAGAAATTCACAACAGCAATGGGCTCTGTGAAAGCCGTCAGCTGACACTCTTAACCAATCATCATAATCTGCTAAATGATGATGACTATCCACTACATTCAAAAAATATGATTGTGCATAAAACAGGGCTAAACAAAGTTTTTTTTTGATACAGAGTGCAGGCAGGGAAGTGATGGAAAATCAAGTTACTGCCAACCTCTGTGATGCATGTTTAACCATCCACACACCTATTCACTTTACTCAGTCTTACCTACAAAATACAGAAGCAAAGTCACCTTATGGACTGCACACTAAGTACGAACATTCTATGAGATGCTTAGTGATTGTGCTATTTATTGTAAATGTGTCTTGTTTTCAAACTATTCAGGGAGAACACCAGTACCTGCCTACCTGTTTCAGGATACAGATCTCATAAAATTAAAATTTTGGCTTCGCTTTTAGCTTTAAACCCACATGCTTAATTCACTCTGGCGGCTTCTTGCTGCGCACTGTGTTCCCTGTTGTTTATTTCATTTTGTAATGATGGAGAATTTGTACCCAGGGATGTTAATGTGCTTCTCATTTAGAATTGTACTGCATTGGAGTTTCTCATTAAAAGACCTATCAGGGTGTTCATTACCATTATGTATACTCCAACTCTATTTCCTATCCATGTCTAGAACTATGGGAAATTATCCTTTGTTATACTTAATCTATGTAATTTCAAGCCTTATTTTACAGATAAAATAAATAAAACAACAAAACATAATGCCATTTGCTCTTTTTATGGTTGCAATTGCTTTTTCTATGTAAAGAATATATTTGATAATGTCTGCTCTTTTATTGATTTTTTATGTGTTTATCTTTGTTTAAGAGGACTAATTCTTTGAAGAAACATAAACCGTCTCAGATTAAATGAACAGTATTTCAATTATGTAATGTTCTTAATGAGACTCCCTTACATTCTGTCCTATTAAACTTTAAAAGGACACGCTAATCACCAAAACAACTTTGGCTTAATGAAGCATTTTGGGTGTATAGATCATACATACCCCTGCAGCCTGGGCTCAATTCTTTGCCATTTAGGAATGAAATCACTTTTGTTTCTGTTTATGCAGCCCTAGCCACATCTCCCCTGACTGAGACTCACACAGTCTCCATAAAAATGTTTAATTTGCAATTAGATCTTAGAGCTCAGTGTGTTTACTTTAGAAATTATTATATCCTGCTCTGTCAATTAAACTTTAATCACACACAAGAGGCTGTGACGGGCAATTAAGAGCAGGAGATATAGAATTCTAAATTAAACACATTCTGCAATAATGGAAGCTAAACAAAGTGTTTAGGAAGGCTGCCTGAGTCACAGTAAGGGGGTGCTTGGCTAGGGCTGCATAAACAAAAGGATTTAAGTCCTAAATGGCAGAAAACTGAGCAGTGAGATTGTAGGGGCATGATTTATGCATCAAAACCAATTCATTAAGCTAAAGTTATTTTTGTGCCTAAAGTATTGGAAATTTGTTTTGGAAGTATTGGAATTGTTTACTGAAGGGAGAATTGTGGGGGATTCAAAGTGAAATTAAAATGTAAGGCCAAAGTAGCTGAACTAGAAGCTGTCTTGGAGAAGCTTTACAGTTCGGCTACTTTGGCTTTAAATGTGAAATTCGCTTTCTCATTTTAGTAAAAAAAAACATTGAAAATGCCTGATTTCACTTGTGCTTTCATAATTGAAATCGCTTGTATATAGTGGCTCGGTAACACATTTATCTTGCTAGAAGAAAAAAAATAAAATGTTATTTAAATATAGTGCTATAGATCCAGGACAGCCTGGATCTCTGAAAATACTCTACTAAAGCAAAGCTATAATTTTACAGGAATCAGATATTAATCACCCTGTGCTAACACATTTAAAGGGACATTCTATGGGTTAACTAACCTTATATTTTAATACATCTTGTACATAATCTATTACAAATGTGTAAAAATAACAAAGATATATAAAAAAAAGTAAATATCATAAAAAGAACAATCATCCCCGAAAGCCCATCAGTTGCTGCAGTACGGCTAAAAAACATTAACACAGTTTTCACTGTCAGTCCTAGAACTTTAATTTTTATCATATCACATAAACGTTTTCCCAGCAGGAGTTATTTTAGGGATTTAGATGGTCAGCTGTGATGGTTACTGTTGCATAGGTACTATTACCTTACAAAGTTACATTATTTATATTCATGAATGTCGTTACTTGCATCGCGCATGCATTCTGAGAGTGCTTGTACAAGTTGCTCAGGGTGTTTTTTTGTGAATCTATGATCTACAAGACAGGTGTAGTGTATTGTATCCCACTCTGATGCAACAACATTTACAGCAGTAAACATATAGCTGTATATGTGTTTGAAAATCTGCAGCTTTAATGAAAAGGTTGAAGGGGGGCAAGGAAGAGGAGCTCAGTGTTTACAACCTATGGAAATAGTAACATAGAAACATAGAATGTGACGGCAGATAAGAACCGTTCGGCTCATCTAGTCTGCCCAATTTTCTAAATACTTTCATTAGTCCCTAGCCTTATCTTATAGTTAGGATAGCCTTATGCCTATCCCACGCATGCTTAAACTCCTTTACTGTGTTAGCCTCTACCACTTCAGCTGGAAGGCTATTCCATGCATCCACTACCCTCTCAGTAAAGTAATACTTCCTGATATTATTTTTAAACCTTTGTCCCTCTAATTTAACCCCTTAAATCCGCAGGGCGTACTATTACGCCCTGCAGGAGCCGGCTCTAAACGCCGGCGGGCGTAATAGTACGCCCTCGCTTTAATGGCCGCCCACGTGGCCGGCTCTAATCTCCCGCTGCAGATCGCGGTCGGGGGGGATGCCCGGTCCCCCAGGCAACCCCCCCTGTGGCCGGTGACCGCGATCTGCAGCTTCTGATCGCAGTGACAGGCTGTCACTGCGATCAGTTGTTAAGCGTGTGTCAGCCGATTTCAAATCGGCTGACACACGTGGCCAGCGGCTACCCCTGTGCAGATCGCGGTCGGGGGACATACCTGGCCCCCCAGGCAGTCCCCCTGGGGTCAGTGACCGCGATCTGCACTGTGTGAGATCGCAGTGACAGACTGTCACTGCGATCTCACAGTGCTGTGATCGCAGTGACAGGCTGTCACTGCGATCACACACGTGGCGGCGGCTACCCCCGTGCAGATCGCGGTCGGGGGACTTACCTGGCCCCCCAGGCAGTCCCCCTGGGGTCAGTGACCGCGATCTGCACCTTCTGAGATCGCAGTGACAGGCTGTCACTGCGATCTCAGAGCCCTCTGATCGCAGTGACAGCCTGTCACTGCGATCAGTGTTACATGTATCAGCCTATTGGCTGATACATGTAACAGCCACCATGATCCCCCTGCAGATCGGTAGGGGGAGTGCTTGTACCACCCAGGCACTCCCCCTGTGGTCAAATAACCAATCTGCAGGAGGTGATCACAGTGACAGCCAGTCACTGTGATCACTATTGGAATGTGTCAGCCAATGACCTCAGGTCACTGGCTGACACTTTGTCTCTGCCCCTCACCTCACTTCGATCTGAGAGAGAGAGGCAGAGACATCGTTGGTTTTAGAGCTCCTGTGAAAAAAAAAAGTTTTATTACTTTATAAAAGTTTTAAATATATATTTAATTTAACCCTTTCAGCACTGATCACAGTTTATTTCTGTCATCAGCTGAATAGGGCATCAAGTACTTTTGTACTTAATTTTAAAAAAAATTTGGGGTCAAAAAAAAATAATTTCTCATTTTTTTTGACCCTTTGTGTCAGTTGCAGCAACCCAAATCTCCATTACCCTTTCCCCGCTGCCGTGATCACTGTACTGTACAGTATATCTGCTGTACGGTACTATATCAGTGATCACTGTGATCAGAGGGCTCTCTGATCAGGCTGACTTTTTTTTTTTTTTTTTTTTAAGGGTTATTTTTTTTCATAACTTAAAAATAACCCTTTCAGTACTGATCACAGCTCCCTTTACTGTGATCAGTACATTTATTTTGTTTTTGAGGGTGGGTAGTGGGTGTTAGGCAGGTAGTTAATTAATTAGCCCCTTAGCCCTTTTCACTTAATTTTTTTCCCCCTAGAATGGCACGTCGCTACTCAGCCGAGGAGGCATATGCCATTCTGGCAGGCAGTGATAGTGATACTCTGCAAGACAGGGACACTATCACTGCCTCTGACACTGAGCCTCTGAGTGAGACCTCAAGTGATGGTGCCCCACCACCACTAACAAGAGGACGCTCAGAATGCCCAATGCCAGAGGGAGACTGGGTGCCTTCAAACATGATAGCACCAGAAATACCGCTGTTCACTGTTACACCTGGCATCACTGTAACAGTGGACGACTGCGAGCCAATTCGTTTTTTTGAGCTATTTATGTCGTACGATGTATTTGAGCTCATGGCTCAGCAAACAAATTTGTTTGCTATGCAGTATCTCTCTGCACATCTGGGGTCCCATCATAATCGCAGGAATATGTGGAGACCCACGGATGTCGCAGAGATGAAGCGGTTTTGGCTTTAACCCTAGTGATGGGTATAGTTAAAAAGCCCAGTATCAGGTCCTACTGGAGCAAGCAATGCATCCTGGCTACCCCTCTTTTCCCTGAGGTTATGCAGAGGGATCGCTATCTGCAACTGCTGCGATTCCTTCATTTTAATGACAACTCACTGTGTCCCCCTAGAAATGACCCACTGTTTGACAGGCTCTATAAAATTCGGCCCTTTATCCAGCTCCTGTCAGACAAATTTTCTGAAAATTATATCCCCGATAAAGATATTTCAATTGATGAGTCCCTTATGAAATTCAAAGGTCGACTGCTATTTAAGCAATACATTCCTTCTAAGCGGTCCCGATATGGTGTTAAATTTTATAAATTATGCGAATCCTGTACTGGTTACACATGGGCGTTTCGCATTTACCAGGGGAAGGATAGCCATCTTGACCCACCAGGATGTCCTGATTCTGTGGGTACAAGTGGAAAGATTGTTTGAGATCTATCCCTTCCCTTGTTAAATAAGGGATATAGGCTATGGGTTCACAATTATTATACCAGTATACAGTTATTTAAAAATTTATATTACTTTGAAACCCTAGCCTGTGGCACAGTGAGGAAGAATCACAGGGGTTTCCCCCAAACCCTGGAAAGAGGCAGAAGCAGAAGAGGTTCCTCTTCAGCCCTCCGCCAGGATGAGTTGCTTGCCCTTCGTTTCACAGATAGAAAGGATGTATACATGCTGTCTACAATGCATGACGAAAGTACAGTGCCAGTGTCTGTGAGAGGTAGCACTGAGCATCTGGAACAGCCGAAGTGCATTGTAGACTACAGCAAGTTTATGGGGGGAGTAGACTTGGCTGACCAATGCATACAGCCCTATCTAGTGAACCGGAAAACTAGGACCTGGTACAAGAAAATTGCAATCTACGTGAGCCAGATTGCAATTTTCAATGTCTATGTCCTCTATAAAAAAGAGGTCATAGGTAGGCCCTGCCCTTTCCTAGACTTCACTCTAAGCCTTTTGTCACATTTATTATTTACCCAGCCCCCCAATCCCACTTTGGGATCAGAAGATCTCCAAAGACTTTGTGGCAAACACTTCCCTTCCCGAATCCCTGCCACCGCTAGTAAAAGAAATTCCCAAAAAAAGTGCCGTGTTTGCTACAAGAAAGGAGACCGAAAGGACTCTAGTTATTATTGCCCAACTTGTCCATCTAAACCCGGCCTCTGCATAACAGACTGTTTCAAAGTCTACCATACAGAGCTGAACTACTAAATCACTCTGTATGGGACTTTGGCAGTTTGTTTGCTTGATTTCCCTGGATTCCCTGACCTCGGCTTGTCCTGACTACTCTTCGTTAGCTGCCTGTACCGACCCATTGGCTTGTTTTTCCGACTACTCTCACTTCTGGATTTCCCTGACCTTGGCCTGTCCCTGTTTATGCTAGCCATTCTTAAGTGGCTACACCAAACAACTTAAAATATACACCAAACAACTCAAACTCATTTGTAGTACTTGAAATGTGCCTTCACAAAAAAAGCAAAAAACTAATCACAGGGTTAATGCTACAGTATCTGAGTCAAAGATCTATCTGCCTCTCTCTGGCTCCAGGTCCAAGGGGTACTGAACTATTCCTGTGATATACTAAAAACCTGGAAACATTGTACATGTAGGTATCGTTATATTCAGAAGACCGTGTTAAATCAAAATACTGAGGTTTTAGTGCACTAACTAATACCAGAATTATGACATTTCTAGTGAAAATGCAATTTATGTGATTAAAAAGACAAAAATAAAAGTAGAAATTGCTACATGGGCCCATCATTTCTGTTAAAATGGCTAGACCAAACATCTCAAGGTCTGCCATTTGTTGTACTCTGAGTTGCCTAGTTTTGAAAATGGTATGCCATAACGGTGGAAATGTTATTACCCAGGCTTCTATGCTCTCTAAATAGCCACATAGGCCCAGCAAATCACTTTGTCAAACTTACAAGCTAAAAGGGCATGTAATATATTTCACCCTGTACTTATCAGAAAGAATCTGAAATAATGACACGTGGGGGTGCCGTTATATTCAGAAGACAGTGTTAAATCAAAATACTGAGTTTTTAGTGCACTAACTAATGTTAGGATTATGACATTTCTAGTGAAAATGCAATTTATGTGATTAAAAAGACAAAAATATAAGTAGAAATTGCTACATGGGCCCATCATTTCTGTTAAAATGGCTAGACCAAACATCTCAAGGTCTGCCATTTGTTGTACTCTGGGTTGCCTACTTTTGAAAATGGTATGCCATAACGGTGGAA